GAAATTGACAAGTAGAAATGCGTGTATATAATCCAAAATTGGAGTTACACTAGGCATAGCACCATTGGTGTTCTTGGGGCATACTCAAAACAACTTGAAAAGTCATGTCAATTGGTCAAAAGGTGGCCAAGAAGAAAAATGTGACATCCCTCCGTTTAATATTCCAAAAGGAAATTTCAAAGCCTTTTTTTTCTTTCCATAATATAATATATACAACCCCGTTTGGTAGGCTAGACTGGATTAAATTGGATATATTACACTGGACTAGTTAGGATATAACTGAATTTTAAGCAGTTGTTTGGTGCAATAAACACCAAGTTGAGATTGTAGGACTGGAACAAATATAGCAAAATTTTAAAAATACAAAAAATAAAATAAAATAATGAATACAATTCTCAAAAATGCAATTTGACTAATCTACCAGGAAGAATCGCAAGTAGCCCATAAGATCTCAAGAATAAATCATATCAGAAACAATCGCAAGGTCTCAAGAACAAACCATATCAGATAAGCAACAATCACAGGGCTCCTCCTTCAAATCAGATCTCAAGCTTGACCAGATCAATTGGAATTTGGAAGATATGACAATCTACACGACGCCGATGAGATAGGAGCGGCTGTGAAACAACGTTGTCGGGTCGACCTGAAGATATGGCAAAGGGGAAGAAAGAGAGAGAGAGAATCAAAGAAGGACGAAGCATGCTCGCAAGTTGACTCAGCTAGCTTCGAAACCCATGTCTATCGATGGGTTCTGGAGCCCTTTCTATTAGGACATCTCTAGTCATAGGGCTAAATGTAGTCCAGGACTAAAAATTTAGCCTTCCAAAATATTAATTTTTTAAAGAATAGTGCATGGCTAAATTTTTTCATCTCCAACCATGCAGGGCTATATTTTAAGGTCCTTCAAATTTTATTATTTTTAGAAAAACTATGATACAATACTCATACATTCCACAACTATTTAGAGACAATATTCCATGACCAAGATTTTTTTATAATTTTTTTTAAACAACACTTGAAAACATTTAAAAAGGTGACCACATTTATAAAATAAATAAAAAAGGATGGGTTTCAATGGTCTGACCTCCAACGGTCATAACCAATAAATTTTAATAAATTTTTCTTAAACAATACGAATAAAAAATATATATATATATATATATATATATATATCCAGCTGATATCATTGATGACATCGGCACTTTTAATGTTGGCTGTTGGATATGCATTTGAACTAGATGATTCGTGCTCTTGCCCACACTTGATAATTTATCATCTTCAAAAGCACATGCATGGGGCCCACAAAACATTTGGGGTAGGCCAAAGTTGGGCTACATGTGGCCGGTTGGAGGGCCAAAGGGCCAAATGTGGCCCTCCAAATTTGGCCAAAATTTTGTTTAGCCCATGGCTGGAGATGAATTTTGTATTATTTTAGAGCTATATTTGGGATATAGCCAATGGCCATTTGGCTAACAAGAGTGATTTGCTTTTACAATATAACCCTGTTCACAAAAAGATCCCAGTGCCTGTTCACAATGGGAAACCGATTGATGAGACTTGGCCCCAAAATCCCCTGCTTTCAGATGACCCTCATGAGAGCCTTAGCGCGGTTTTCACAATCTGACAACAAACAAAGCTAACCCCACAACTCAGCATGTATTCACTTACAGAACCTGATCTCCTTAGTCTATGATTTGAAAGAAAGGACGCTCCATTTCTACCTCTACAAATTTTACTGATAAGAGAAAAGATATTGTGAAGGCTAATTCATTTTCATATACCTTTATGATTTGGAAATTAATGAAGGGTTTGTGAAGCTTATGCAGAGTTTCAAAGCTACTCTAGATGTTGTTGGAACTATTCTCTTATTGGAATGTAGAAGCTTATTACATTTATTCATCTTTGAACTTTTATTCTTATTGGGTTCATGTGGATATCAAGAAGTTGCTGGCTTGACATGCACCGCCCTTCGTTCTTTCATATAGCCTAACAGGAGGCTCTTATCAGGATGATTTTCTTTAATCACAGGAACTTCCTTGAAATTTTTAATCCATGCCTGCAAGCGAGGGAAGCTATTGACTTCCAGCACTCGTACACCAGCTGCTTCTTCCATGGCCTCAAGCCAGAATGCTATCCATCCGAAGGCTAAGTCTGTCATTCCAATCTCGTCACCGTTGAAAAACTTTTTCTCCCCAAGGCCTTGCTGTTCCCAGATTGTCATAAGTTCTTGGGCGTGTTTTACTGCTTTTGCTTGCTCATCTCCAGTTGTCCAAAAGAACTCAAAAAAGTTTGGCCTCTAACTTACACAAAAGAACCAGTCAGTGAAAAGGTAACATTTCATATGAATCTAGGAGAACAAGCCAAAAGATTAGGGAAATTTGATTACCTTGTCATCTCCGAACTTAGTCCAAAACCGAGCCATGGCCCTTGCATAAGGGTCATTTGGTAGCAGAGGGTTCTGAAGCCACGTCTCTTCAATGTACTCAAGAATAACAGTGGACTCTGCAATTATTTTTCCACCATGAAAAAACACTGGAACCATCTTATGCACTGGGTTACTCCGGAGAAGCAAATCACTCTTATTGTATATGTCGTCTTCTATATATTCATATTTGACACCCTTGAGTCTCAGAGCCCATATAACCCTGTAAGGATATGGACTTGTCCAGAACCCTAGTACCTTTACTTCCTCCATATTCGTCTAGTTTGTGTTCATCTTCTTACTCTGGTGGGTATATATATATAGGTATATACCTGATTGAGTGCAGTTCAAAGTTTCAAACCTGCTTGGGCAGTCAGGAGAGGTTAGGTGGAGTGGAGATTACTAATTATAATTTGCCGTCTTGTTTGACCAAGTAATAATAATTCATATAAATTACCTACTTAGTCTTCAAATCCTGTCATTTTCAGAACTTCTTTAGGGTGGGTGACTTTTCATTATTATTCATATAATATATGATGCGACTTATAAGTTTGATAACTTATCTCCGATTTGTTCTAAGGATTAAGATTTTCTATATTATCTGATGTATCAATCTAGTTTGAAAAGTTAACCAAAAGGTGACTTGCTGAATCCTTTTTTCCATTCTCTTCTCAAACACAAATGTTCCTGTTTTTCATTCTTTTCTCCAAACTCAATCTCAAGGTTATATTCCCTTCTTAGTTGTTTTTTCAAACACTCAATCTCATCCTCCAAGGCTGCATACAAAAGTAAGTAAAGACTAAAGAAACCCCCTGAACTCTCTTTTGCTGTCTTTTTTTCTCACTTTGTTTGGTTACTGAGAAAATGCTGGAATAGAAATGAAACTTCTTGGATTCTTTAACAGTTTGGAGATCTCTTGGAGTCATTTCTTGAAAAATGTGATTTTATTTCTGTGTCCCTTGCTCCCTGTTAATGGTCAACAGTGTAAAGGTGTGAGACATACGACCAACACTGTTTTACTTTATTACTGTAGA